ACTTCACGGGCAACAGCGGACCGAGCAGAGGAGAGCTCCTTCTTTGCCGAATTGAGCAGACTCAGCTCGTGTTCGTATTTGGCTTTCTGATCCGACCACTCTCGAAGTTCTTCCTCAGGGACATTCTCCAGGTTGTCAAGCTGATCCTCAAGCAATGCAGTGGCCTCTTCCGTTTGCCGAATGTTCCTTTCCAGTTGCAGCGAGCGTTGCTTCTGCCTGTTTTCATCTGTTCCGCTGTGTAGACGATGGTTGTAATTGTCAAGCTCCTTCCTGATTTTGGAAATGACAAGCTTGTGATCGTTCTTGGCCTTTCTAAGCCGAGATCGCTTCTCATTCAACTTGGCTTCGGCGTTGACAATAGAGTTCTTCAGCGTAGTCGTTGGGGATGAAGGACGATACGATGGCTGCGGTGGGGTTGATACCGAAGAGACTGCTGCTTTGAAGAATTAATAAAACTTTTCAGAGTGCGAAAAATCCACAAAAGGGCCGTCCTTACCTTGTTCCGCATCATTTGTCGCAGGAGTTTTGACACTAACGACGCATATCTCTTCATCGGTATCGCTCCGCACGAACGAGCAAGTGTAAGCAGAATTGGGGGCCAGACCAGAAATCTCGCCTCGCCAATGTACCATACTCGATCCTTTCGGTGCATCGTGCACTTTGCATATTGTGGCGGTGGCCCAAAGGGCTCCATTCACGCACACGTAGAACGGTTCCATATCCTCGCTCCCTAGACATCCAGCTTCGCAGGCTCCCGAACCAGTCGAATCATCCGCCGAAGAAAAATCACCAGCCGCAAATTTTATCGTTGAACTGTCGATTTCCGTAATCCATACAAGTCCATCGTCCAGAGAAAGACCTTGAAGATCATCCTCGGTCATGGGAAGACCACGAGCTGTCTTCGACAAAGTCCTTGAGTGTTCATACTCTCTCATGACGGTTATCTTTGTGCTTGCCAGTGCCGCCCAAAACGGTTGACGACTCCGCACCTGATTTGCCTGTCTCCTGCGTTTCTTCGCCGAAAGTAGTCGATCCCTACCATCCTTGTGCGCTGTCGGAGTGACAATTTGCCCATCAGCACCGATATATGACGAAACACTGGCCCCTGACTCGAAGGCAGAATCGATTTGTGTCTGCGAGCCGGCGGACGCTTCCGTGTCGATGCGCTTGCCGGTGCGAGGAGGATTAGGCGTTCTGTTCTTCGCCATTGACCGTCTCGCCATGGCGGTGCCGGCTTGGGCCAGTATATGGACTGCGAGTAGACTCCGAAGCCAGCTCGGCGACGTCTGCGGTTCAGTGCGTCGAAACTCAATAGGCAAAAGATGCGAATATTGCGACAACATATCGGGACTGATGATGTTCGAGGAAAGAAGATGACCTATAACAAAATCCTGTATACCTTTGCTCCGTACAAGGTGCATTATCAAAACTATACCAACACAGAGGGTGTTCACCCCCCCGTTTTTCCCAAATCCTCCTCCACCTAGCGTGATGGCAACTTGAACGTGGGCCAAGTCAAGCGCGAAATTTTGCGCCCAGGTCCACATGAACAAGCCCCATATGAGTAGACAGAATCCGTCCATCGCAATCATTGTACCGAGGGAAGGAGTTCCGGCGGGCCCTTGAAAGATGTCGAAATTGGACGTCAAGGAACCAGCCGACGCACCACTAGGCGGCAAGAAGGTCAAAGAGGCGAACAAAAACTGAACCAGAGTGAGAACCATGGGCGGAAGTTGGAGCAGAAAGATCAAGATCGCGATCGTGTCGTACATGGGGCACGATTTGAGGATGGTCGACGCGAGTTGGAGAGGGTTAATCGATGCATTCGAAGGCGACCTCTTGGCACCGGTCGCCGACTTCTCAGTACGACGCGAAGCCAGTCCTGCAATATCGCCACTGGTCTGCGAGGCGACACCATTGTTCTGCACATACGACATGTCGGCATTGCCCTTGGCGTATCCGTTCAAATGATCAGGCTCATTGCAATCCCCTTTGGAGCTGTCCGGTGTTCCGTTGAGCTTGGTCGATGCTACGGTCGTTGTGGGGATGACGAGATCGCTGGAAGAGCGAGACGACGGCAAATCGACTTGAGAGGAGGAAAGAGAACTAGACGCAGAGCCGCCGTTGAGATTACCGTTCAGATGTCCATTGGATTTCTGTTTGGCCACTTTTTTCCCTGTATTTGCGCTGCCATTCTCATGCCGATTGCTATGACTCTTCCTAGCCGTAGCCGATGAACGTGGCATCGACGGACGAGCCTAACACCCAGGTCCGAGTCAGCTTGGCAGATTAGAGCCAAGGACTTGGACCAGGCAGGTGAGTGAGGACGAAGACAATTTTGAAGAAAAGGGAAAATGAAGGACGACTCGGAAGGGGCGAGCAGGAAGGGAGAATGGCGAGATATCAGGTTGGCAATATGTGCGGGAGCGGGATTGAAAAGGAACGACAAGAGGGGTCTCGCGAAGGCGGTAGAGAGGACTAATGGTAAATGAAGAGAGGAAAAGGAAAAGACAAGACAAGACAAGACTGACGAGAAGGAGGAGGAGAAACTGAGGGCTGAGATAGCGTGGCGGGAGGGGCGGGTTTGGAGAGATGGTAAGGGAAAGAGGAAAGGGAAAAAGAACGGAGGTTTTTTTGGTTTGGTTTTCTCGGAATCTGGATGGACGAAACGAGGCGGGAAGGGAGAGAAAGTCTTCCCAGGTAGAAGTAGCCTCCGTAGGAATCTAGTCTACCTTTTACCGTAGGAGTTTAGTTCACAGGAAGGTTGGAACTGATCGTCAGAACCGGACCATGAAAAGGAAGAAAAGAGAAGACGATTGAGCCAATGTAAGCCGCTCAGCCAGATGTGCTACTGGAACTTTGGGAGAGAAAAAGGACCCTCAGCCCAAGGCAGTAAGGCTTCCGCGTCCGCTAAGCACCAGAAGGGTAAAGGTCTGAGGCCTGAGGCATCAGTAACCAACTTTTAAATGCCACATGCTTCACCAGTTGGCGTGTAATGTTGGAAATACGTAATACAATACCACAGATCCAGGCGGGCGGATTACAGATTTACGGGATGGGCTGATGGAAGAGCAGACCAGGGCAGCGCCTCATTCCGGGAGGTTTGTTATTTTTGGGATCTTCAACCAGAGATTGTGTCGATTGCTGGTATGTTTTGTCCTACACTTGCACACAGAAATAATAATGAATCTGGAGCATCGTGGCACTATTCAGATCAACATATTCAGCTTACTCTCAATTGTTAACATTGTGGCTGTGTTATGACAAGTCAATCTGACATAAACAGATCTGCCTATAATGTACTGCATAACGCTTGTTTCAAAATGATTGCGACGGTAACGGGGCAAGCTTCTTCTAGCTTGGCGGTTCTCCGATAAACTCCTGCAAGTTTCAACCCTCCCGTGATATCGACTTCTCTAGGTATAATCAACCTCAAAAACAGAGATTCAAGGTCTAGAATCCGTCCAAGACGAGCTTCATCTGATTGATGCCAAATCGTTTAAGATGACCAAGTCCTCTGGCACTACTGTATTTGTGTGGCCAAGATACTGACAAGGTGATATACACAGCGTCCACTATCTCTGGGATAAATGGGAATGATTCGGCCTTATTGTCACTCATCTTTCACTGCTCTTAGCATGACTACCTAAGGTACGTGTTCGGCATCTATCGCAATGAGATTGCTGCCCTGATAGGTCAAAATTCCATGGCCCATGGTACATGACTTACTGCTTACTTTCCAGTTACCCCTCACTGACGCAGAAACTGGCCATACAAATATTCTCTTCTCTATCAAGCTATCTTCTGCCGCCATGCACAGGGAATGCGCTGTGCTCAAAATCGTTCAATGCAGGACGATCATCCGACGATCGAATCCTCCACTTTCTCAGCGGGGTTGACTTTCCCATATTGACAGCTACAAAGGGTACAACGTCTGATTTTGTAGTCGACGATTGGGACCGCAGAGATTCGCTCACCAAATTCGAGCAATAATTCTTGACTCCGATGATTGAGTTGACCGTTTGTATTAGTTGCCTTTGAGGCCATGGCCACAATATGGCTCGCTGCATGATAGCCAAACAAGTATAGAGGTAGATGAAGATCTTTTGCGCTCAGCATATTGCCTACATGACATTTGATTCTTGATTGTAAATCAATCCTTCTTAGGCCGCTCTTCATTGGATCAACTGAAAGAAACTGGGAATTACGATGAATGATCGACCGGTTTTACCCCAATGAGGATAAACGTACCAAACTTATTCTGGGTATTTCGTCGGAGATGCCCCGGCGCGCCGGCTTCGTCGAGTGTCATATGATACTAAAGTTTTGTTCGTGGCTTAAATCTGTCTAGCTAAGGTATCAAACCCACGGCCCTGGATGTACATCGATGATGGTCCGAGAATTGTGTATGGCGCCATACCCTTCCCTGGTACATCACTGTATGGCTCGGTACCCATACAGAGGATGTACCTATATATACGGGGACTGTAAACATAATTGACAGTTTCTTTGGCTTTTGCTCAGTGCTCGTCGAACCAAGTCTTTCAACGAAGGGCAACAGACTGGACGATAGAGCTCAATGCGTAAATTGATGCAGTGTTACAAGCTTCGGGTTGACACTTTCGCTCTGAGTTGCACCTGTTGAGCTCGTACTGATGCATGTACATCATTTAGCAGCAGTCCTCACCCCACGCCATAATGGTTTGCCTGTATGGCAATGATAACAAGCATCCCGTAATTGCACACTTCTACCAGCTAGAACATTGGGTACCAGTGAAAAATCCGCGCATAGTTTGGAAGAAGACGACAATGCGCCTTAGTACCCCGAGCTACAAACACCGAGGGGACGAAAGACCGCGCGAAAGACGACATTTCACAGTTACGGACACTCTTCATAACCCAGTCTATGGCCGTCCTACTCAGGACTAGCTTCTACACACTCTAGAACATATAAGAATAAAGATCTTGAGCGAGCCACCTCACCTTAGAACCTACAGCGCTCATTTCCTCGCAGAACCCATATCCTCAACAGCATCCTCCCGGTCCCAGCTTTCCACCTCCAATTTGCGAACTTGCGTTTCAATATCAAGGATCTGCTGCTGCCAGTGTTTCCTGGCTCGCTTTTGGAGATCCCACATGGTCTGAAACTGCGCCTCAACAAATGGCGGCAGGGTAGTCTTCTTGTTCTGCTTGTAATCGTACACGACAATGTCCTCGTGCACGCGCGCAGCAGGTCGCTGACGCGCTTCGGATAAAATCATAGCCTGAAGGTCGAAGGCGTATTGGGATTGCTGAGCCGACGGGTCGTGGACTAGCTTATGGTAGACGGTGACTTTGTCGGGGTACGTCATGGGCTGCAGCAGCAGGGACACTCGTCAGCAAAGAACCTAGGGAAAAGGGACATGTCCACGTACGAATTTGTAGTCGATTTTGAGACTTCGGACAATGACGCCAACTCCTTTCGGGCTAACCAGATTCATCCATTCCTTCCTGTGTGCTTGGTCTATGTGTACGGCGAAGTTGCGAACGAAGTATACCCTTGCGGTTTCGGCGTATCGGAGGTACGTGACGTTATTGACGTGTCCTGGATGGCATTGTCACAAAGCTCAGCTATATCCGCAGCTAATTTTTTATTGTATAGAGCGGAAGTCCACATACTCTGGTCAATGGTCAGTTTATCTCAGTATACACAACAGGTGAATCGGGCAATACTCACCATGCTATCCTGTTGCCAGCGTAGAACGTCCTCCATCAGCAGAGTTCCATTACAAGAGTCTTGCTTCCACAGGCCCTACCATTTCTCCCCAAGCCACCGTCTGCCGATATAGACCCCTCCTCCATTCATCTGTCAGATAGCCCTCACTGCCGGCGATCAGTTCGCGCCAATCCCGCGCAATGCGCTGAAGTATGTTTCCTGCTTCCTCGACCTGTGGTGGCTTCAGGCCGAACATCATGCATTTTCCAATCCGTCTTTTGATCATGGTAAGCCATCGCGGATCAATGGAGTGAGGTTTGGATGGCGGTCGTCTCGAAGTTGAGGTGTGAGCATCCTGGGAGGTGGGCGATATCGAGAAGAACCGGGGATAGCAACTTGAGGCTCGAGACGTGACCGCACCGAGGCTCTGCCTTTTGAGTGTTTGGATTGCGATCATCATTCAGTTGGACTATGTACAACAGGGATGGAAGAGACTCTAGGATTGTTGCTGGTCTAGTTCCCGCTGACAACAAAGGGATCGAAGAAGCATGGGGCAGACGGCTAACCCCGGGCTCTCCCCGCTCTCCACCTGCGCAAATGCCGAAATCGAAGATATTAACCTGACGTGATCGCCGGGTCAATAGGCTAATGGACTGCCATCCACGGAAGCAGAGAAGCACTGTTCTTGAGTAGCATCCGATAATAATATCATAAAGGTGGTCGAATCAGGCTCAATTTGAAGAGCAGGGCTATTACTTCTTTCCATAATAAGCTTCTCCGCACCCATCAGCTATATATTCCGCCACATCTCGAGGATAATCCCTCGGCAATAAGTAAGAAACCACATACCATTGAGGCGCGAGCTCGTTGCTAGCAATCATTACTCTATAAAGCCAACAGATTGATTCAAGGGAATTCAGCCGAGGCTGCATGTTGGGTAGTCCCTAATCCACACCAAATAGCAGGGCGCCCGCCAAACGACGTCACCGATATATCCCGGCCGCAAAACAACAACATCCCGTCAACGTCTTGCAGCCATCCCACGCTGACACTGACCCTCCTTGTCTTTGAGTCGACACAATGACAATGACGAATCCAGAGCTCCGTCGACAAGTCATCAATATTTACAAAGGTATTTGCTCCGCATCTTGCGCCTCATCTGTTCCGCTATTTCGACACTGAACCGGAATGCCCTTCATGGAACGACTATATGCGTTTATCTCATTCGAAACTAATTCAGATACTACAGAACTCCTCTACCTCGGGCGAGAATACCCTCTTGGATATGATTATTTCAGGCAAAGGCTGCACAAAGCGTTCTCCAGCCAAGCGCATCTGACCGACGAAAAACAGATTCGGACAGGGATAGCGAGGGCACAGTTTGTAAAAAAGGGTATGATTGAAGTCATCGTCTCCAGAAATTTGGGGGTCCCTGGTGTTAGAGTTTCAACTGCTAATTATCTGCGTATCAGAGATTGAAGCTATGTAAGAACGCGGATTCTGCCTTCACCCCCACCACCCACCAATGCCGAGAGCCTACCCTTCCACAAACCACTCTCCACACCGACTACAAGCAGATGGATTCAAAAGAACAAAATTATTACATATATTCTAGGATAGTCATTGCTGGACACCCGTTTATCATGAGGAGACCGTTCATATCATGCATCCACACACCCGAACCTTCAGACATGATGCTGATGAGCAAAGCAGGTATTATCTGAAGCGATACCGCACGCTGAAACAGCGGTATGAGAATAAATAAAGACAGTGGCGCTGCCTGAAACTTTGGGTGAAGGTTCTGAAAATATACAAATGAAAACACAATAGACTTGGGGGGTATCACCAATTAGGATCGTGACCAATAGTCGATGGACTTTTCTGGCATCCAAAACACCAAAGCCTCTTTATCTTTATGACTTCACCGGAAGTTTCGTCAAGCCGGGTCTACCTTTTCCGACCCCACCAAGCACTCACTTCCAGACACTCTCCACTCGCGAGACCTCCTTTCTGAAACAGGTCGTTTATCATGGCGGTCCACCACCTGTCCCACTCGTCCCTGCTTTTCCCGCTGGCCTCCATGAGCATTGGCTCCATGCCTTCGATCATCTGAATAACAGTCAGAAGTGCAGTTCGTCGGATTGACATCTGTTCCGCAGTCAATTGCTTGCGTGGGCGACCTCCTTCGCGTTCCCATCGCAATTCACCCAATGGAATGGCGATACGACGGCTGTCCACCTTTTCAAGGATGTCAACTTCGGCATTGAAAGACAACCCAATGGTGGCGCACGGTATAGCAGTGAGTTTTCGGCGATCAAAGGCTTTCTCGACCCACGAATTATAATCCTGGAGAAACTTGTTCTGAGCTCCGGTGAAGGGTGTGGCTGGTGAAAAGGTATACGTCGCGGTGTTGTCCGCGACTTCCTGCTCTCTCGAAGCTAATTTGCGAGCTGGGGCGGGATTTGGAAGCAGTGATCGAAATACCCAGTCAGAATCCCATACTTCCAGAATTCCTCCAGACTTGAGAACACGCAATGGTTCGCTGAGACCAGACGCCTGCTGTGCTGGACTAGACGGACACATTCCCGCATCTTTGATGAACACAAAGTCAAAGTAATCGTCCGGGTAAGGCAGGCGAGGCTTGCGTAGGTCATGCCGCTTGAAATGCCAGTTCACACCTTTCTTGCGCAAATCGGGAGCCACTGAGACGAGGTCGATGCCGTGAAAGGCGATGTTGCGATGGCCGCGAGGGGTGAAATAGTCATGACACATACTGGACCATAATCCCGACCCGCATGCGATCTCAAGGACCCTCTTGGGGGGCTGCTCGTTTAGCGATGGCGTACAAAAAGGGCCCCCGAAGACACGAATGAGCATAAGGGAGCGCAATGTCTGGCGGTGAATTTCTGGCAGGTCGCATGGCAAAGGATATAGATTTTCGGGGTCTCTGAGATAAGTGCGGTCACCTTGGCGGATAAGGGGGTAGGAGGAGTAGTCGTTAATGGACGAGAGGGAGGAGGTCGAAGTGCCTGCCCACGTAGGACCAGTCGAACTCAGGGTGGAATGAAGGTCAGACCCAGAGGCCACGGGCGTGAAGGTAATTGGGGTAATTGGCATAGTATCCATATTTCCGAATTGGAAGCTCTATTTTTTCTTCACCAGTCGAGAAATGACGAAATTCTGCGATGAGCTATATGCATTCCGGCCCCCTTCGAAATATACTGTAGGAGGGAGAATTGAGCGAAGTGATTATACCATTGTAACAGGAGATGGTTTAAGAACAGTAGGAACGGCCAAAGGATCAAGCGTCGCAGGAGACGAGACAGGAGGGGCAACGCAAGAAACGAGAGCTCAGGTAAGTTAGTCGAAGCAAGTCTGGCCTGCGGAGAAACAGAGATTGATCCATGGGACTAGACGACATGAAGAGAAGGAGGGGGGCAAAGACCATCGCAAAATTGCGCCTCAAGTCTCCGGTCCACGACCCTAAATCGGCAGTGGAACTCCACTGAGATGACTCCGACAAAGTGCCTAAGTTTTTCTTACCTAGGTCTGGGAGACTGGGACTCGTCGGTTGTCGGGACTCTAAAGTCTAAAAGGAGACACTACCTCTCAGTATAATGTCTTTTAAATTACTGCTCCGTAGTTCCCACTCAACGGGAAAAGTACACTGAACAGTCCAGACATCAGCATGATTTCAAGACCATTCAAGACACAATCAAGACCAATCATTCTGACCATTATCGTTGATGAAAACTAGGATGCCACCGTCATCACTCTCATTTTAGCCGGTCCTTGTCTTGAACGGAGAAAAGAACGATCCTCCGTGAGTGGCGGAATTCCAAGCCTGACCTACGTACTCCGTAGGCTAGAATCAGATATCCCCGCTGGCCTACGCCCATCACTTTGATCAGGGGCTCTTTTCTGTCTCTCATTTCCTTCAATTTTGAGTTTCTGTCTCGGTTTCCTATCCAGACTCCAGACAATGGAGGCTGTAGATAGATAGATAGTCTGAACTGATAGTCTGCACTGACAGTCTGCAGGGACTGCTAGGAAAAGTACATCCTACACACTACGGAGTAGTACAAACTACTACACAAAAACTGTGTTGAATGCAGATGCAGGAGCACCGACCATGTTACACAAAATGAAACAATGGAACGGCAATAGTTGATCATCTCGTGATCAATGCTACATTGTACTACAAAGTCTGGTGGACTACGCTCTCAAATAAGTAATACCACCTATCCTATCTATCCCATAAGGAGAGATCGTCCGAATGGGAACTTGATGATGAATGGCCGTTGAACTAGAGATTTTCAAGGAAACAAGTTCTCCCCCTTGTAATAATAGCAATATTATTCAAAGTATCGGACCACCCCTCACCCAAGACGGAAATTGCTAATGCAGATTGCCAACTGTAACGGACAGCCAGCCCAACCAGAACGCCTTGGTCTGTGTTCCCGAGCAGGCTAACGTAGGTACGGTACAGCCTACATGAGTCTAGTCCCACTAGTGGTTCTAGTTTAGGACATTAGTCTCGCATATTGGAAGTCTCGATGTCACCGAATTGTACCTGAGGAAAGTCCAGGAGAGACAAATACGAAAGAAGTGCAATAGTCCAACGTCGTCTTTTTTTCATGTGATTAGCTGGGTACTTGTAGCCTAGGTATCTACTTGTGGTGCAGAAGGAAGTATCATCCGATGACAGATGGGGTGCAAAATCTGATCCCTCTATCCGATGTATCTACCTTATCCAACAGTGCTGAAAACGGCGAACAAGGCAGACGGGCTCTTGCCGATGGAATGTACGGGTGGCGGTCCGTTGCAATATATACACGTGCCTGCACAGGTCACATTGTGTACTGAGTACACTACGCGCCAGCGCCGGTACTAACAGTACCTAGGTGCTGTAGTAGCTCTCAGGCAGGTTGATAGTATCTACGGGTATCTGCTCCGTAGCTTGAAGGGCTTAGAACAGAAGGATGAAATATAAAGTTGATCAAATAATCCACGAAGGATTATCTATCTATTATCATAAAGAAATAACGGTGGAGAATGCTGAATAATTGCTTAATAATTGGCTGAATAATCAACTGTTGTTCGCCAAATTCCCTCTTTGGGTTTAGCTTTCTTCGGGCCTCTCTCTCTCTGCCACCTTTCTAAGGCTGTATCTCCTACCTTAGGCTACTACCTTACCAGCAGCACCCCCTACCTAGATAGTGCCTCTATTATAGGGCTAATCATCTTCTAAGCTACTATATATTCCTAATTTATAACTATCTTGAAATAGTAGATGTAAATTACACCTTAAACCTTAAGAGGTAAGACTATAAGACTATAAGATACTTACTAGGTGAGGGCCGCAGGTCCGAACCCTGCGCTACAAGTGAGCGGAGTAATTTGGCGCAGCCGAAGCTGCAGCGAGCGGAGCGAGTGCTAGGCAGCTTGTCGTATATC